AATCTTTCATACCAGAAAGCTATATTGTCGGAAGCTGTCCACAGCATCATAAAATAAGCCAGGAGAAAAATCTGGAGAGAATGTTGGAGAAACTCTGTAAGTCTTTGAAAATGCTTTCTAGTGCCAGGGGAAATCAGTTTACATTCTTAAAGATCAGCTGTGACCTCAAAAAGCTGTGTTTAATGTATAAGTCATCTGGACCCACTACATTCATTGAGCTTTATATTTTCCTCTAAGTTATCAGTGTATTAATTTCTACACAGGAGCTGGCACTATAGCTTAAGTGGCAATGAACTAAGAGGGAAGATGGTGAAATACAACTGCCTGGGTTCAGATTCCTCATCTGCTACTTACTAGCTGTGTGAACCTGGGCAAATTATGCAACCTCTCTGGACTTGCACTTCTTCATCTGTAAAGCTGGGACAATTAAAATCCAAACAACCTACCTTATAGGGTTATCACAAGGATTCAAAAGTGCTTAGTATCATTCAATTGCATATAGAATTCAATACATGTTAGCTATTCTTAGTAAGGTTTTTTGTTAAACCTGAAAAACGTTTTGCTTCTAATTCTAGGTAATACAGATATTGTAATTTTCAAGCACTTTAATTGCTTTTTAACTTCCTATCATTTATCCAACAAATATTTATTGAGCATTACAATTTTCCAGGCGCTCCTGTAGGTGCTGAGGATATAGCAGTAATGAGGACTGGCAAGGTCCTGCACTCATGGAGCTGACAGTCTCCTAAGGGAGACAGACAGTAAATAAGAAAGGAAATGATCAATTTAGTAGCTGCTTCAAAGGGAACAACTCTGCCATGAATGTCTCCACATAGGCCACATAGACAAGGTCAACAGCAGTCTGACCCCTCTTGGAAGAATGCCATGTGATCCTCCCAGGAACACTGTAACATAACCAGTCTTGTGAAGAGCTGTCCCAAGGCCATTTGTCACCCACCTCCCTATGTTGTGGGAGCTGCCATGAGGCAGTTTCTCATCTGCCTTCTTGGTTCTGATAAGACATGGGACTTTCAACATTGCCTTCTCACTTAGGGCAAAGCTGCAATATGGAGCTGGAATATGGAGCTGACTCCTCCAGGACGCAGCAACCTACCACTTGTGTCATTCACGTAAATTATAT